CTGCTGTTATGGGAATATGAAGACTTTATGTTAATCTCCGATTCTTGAAGCAACTCCTCCAATGTTGGCGTCTTCCTCAGCTGCAATTAATAACAAATATAATGAAATCAGAGAAAATGAGTTTTCTTATTTGATTAAAACCAAACGGGCATGACAAAACATTGAGAGAAAATGCTCTCTGTTATTATTAAGCAAAACACAAATATAAGAACATATTAGGCTTGCCAAGAGGATAGCTGAAAAGTCAGGACTTATATTACCTGAACACTCTGTAGGATAGTTTGCACGTAGGCCATTCTTGAATCATCCTTCAACTTTCTGCGGACAGCAGCTTCCTGCGCTGCATCTCTATATCGCTGCATCTCCTCTCTTTGCTCTGCTGAGAGCTGTTATCATCAGAAAGCAGACATGGGGTGTCACATACATATGGAATAACAGGGCTGGTGCTAATGATGTTTTTTCATCATTGATTATATTGTTCTTTATTTTTCATTTAATCAGTTAATTAATAAGTCTTTGAAATGTCCACAAACAGTGACAGGTGTCCATCTTAAACTTCCAGGGCCCTCTCTACGGTGACTTCTTGAAATTTTGTCTAATCAACACTCAAAATAACATTACACTAACTTTACAATGATAAAGAAGGCAAAGCACCAAACTTAACATCTGACAAGCTCGAAGAACCTACAGTTTTTCAGCTTGTGAAATTCTATGAATGCTTAATTATCAAAATGTATTACTTTTCTGTGCGTTAACTAGTTGTTTCAGTACCAGTTACACCATGACAGCACCGTTCAAACTAACCTCACTTAACATTATCATACACAACAACTAACCCACAACTAAGATATTGTAAATCTATAATATTGTATTAATACATAATTGTTAATTATTTATTTATTGATCCTAACTCATTAATTATTCAAACATACAGTAGACCCATGACTCTCTCTCTCACACACGCACACAACAAACACAGATTCAATCAAAGAACAATCTCTCAAAAAGACACAGTAGCACACTCATACACTTTTAAAAAAAATGATACCTATGATTTTGTATACATATACTGTTTTAAATAGTTTCTGTTTTTACCCTAAAAAAATGTACATACTTATAACGCACACACTGACACAAACACAGTAAAAAAGGCCCAGAAAAAATATTACGTTGCTGTGTCTATTTGATAATGGCAACCTTTGTAAATGTTTAGGCCTTTGTTGTTAAGGTTGAATTAAGTAGGACAGTTTGTTCACTTATAAACATGTATAATCTTAATCACTGTGAATTATTTACTTATTGTAAAATGAGTTTTACTTCTTGGAAATATATCCCTTATTCTATGCTTTTATTCCCGGTTCACAGATCCACAGGTTCACAAATCCAGTCAAAGTTCCCGATTGTGGATGAGTGCCCTGTGCATTGCAGTGTCTTCATCTTAAGAAAATAAAGTGCAGTTAATGAATACTGGGGTCCTGTCAGATGCAGTCTGACTGATGTCCCAGGGCTAATGTCCATCATATGAATCAGCTATTACAGTCCAACATGCTTCCTTGAAAACACACACACACATCAACAAAGGTAAATTTTGGGTATATGTAAACTTACATGAGCCATATGATATGTGCATAATAGATGTCTATATGTGTACTGTATATATTATTCTATTTTGTTTTCTAATTTAATTCCCTATTTTACTGTATTGACTATTTTTTCATGTGTCCAGTTGTTGTTTTCATCCAGTCTTTTAAATGTCACTGTACTTCAACACGTCATATGTCATGTCAATAAAGCCTACTGAATTTAAACAGCAAAGTGGAACCTTACTGCACAGCCTTCAACAGTGTTTCAGTGCATCTGTGTCATAATAGCTATGATTAAATACCTCCCAATAATATTGATTTGATCAGAAATATCATAAAACTGAGCTCCTACCAGAGGAGGAAGGATGGGCTGTCCATAGAAGCGTATGAGAGAGGATGCAGGTGGAGGTTTGTTGTGTTTCTCCTCACTTGTCCTCAGACAGGAGAGACGATGCTGCACAAACTTGTCGTAGTCCTCCATCGAGTTGCATCAGGATACGGTAGGTAGTAACGTTTGATAGTTTCAGTACTTACTGACGTTAATACATTAGTATACATACATTAATATATTGGTTTTGGTAACGTTAGGCTGAGCTGTAACCCAAGCTAGCTAGCTAACAGGCTAGCTTGTTAGCATTTAATAGCAAACTGCCGGCGGAGTAATATCTAAACCTAGAGTCATTTGAAAACATAACAGTTAAGAGACGCAAGCGTAGAGCAGCTCTGCGGTGTTACCTCCGATAAAACAGCGACAAAACAAAGTCTAGCAGGCTGCCAAACAAAATAAAACTCCATTAGGATGTGTCTGTGTTTACATTTTTACCCGCCTCCTCCCGGAGCGACACACGGTGACAGTTTAACCGTCGAAGCGCTCTTAAAACCCGGAGTGGATTCACGGCACGGTCCCTATAAATATACCAAATTAAACAACAAATACACCGAAATAAACACAACGGACAATTTTAATTAAGAAATAATCATATTATATTAATTCAACAAATAAAACATCATCCTTTGTGTCGACTATATCGCTTTGACGCTTGTATTAATACAGATTAAAATGTGACTGTGCTCCATGTTTTCCCAGCACCCAGAGCTGCTGGAGACAGAGGCAGCCGGAGCTGATAACTCCATACTGCCACCTACAGACCTGACTGGATAAACACAAATATCAGGCTTTATATTATAGCACTGGGGATGAAAAAAAAAATGTGTTAGTACAAATTGTGCAGCACATTTCAGCCTTGAGTTTTGGCACACCACAAATTTAATGTAAAATAATTAATCATACGTGTTTTAACATCGGGAAAATCCATATTCTCTTCATCTTTTAAAGCATTATTCCCTCTCAAAATTCATGTTTAGTATTGTCATACATGAGAGAAAGTCAGTGCATATAAATGGGCCTTCTTCACAGCAGATATTTTAAGTGGTCACAGCAGAAAAAGCACAGGTGAAACCAGTAACATCATTACATATGGCTCTATTTACTTCATGCAGCTACTGCAATGTAGAAGTTAACAATATTAGTTACACCTGTGTCTGACAAGTCAAATTGTGCTGTGCAAAATTAATAGGACTAAGTGTGTCTGAAGTGTGACACATGCTTACAAATATTAACAGGCATATAGGGCATATCAAAAATAAATATTGGATTAAACACTGTTCTGTCTGGGATTTGAAGTTTTGAGTGTTAGAGCAAAAAAAATGTATTTTCTGGCTGTAAACAGGCTGTCAGTGGTAAACTATTCATTCATTATCTTTTCATGCCCTGGAATGAGGACATGGTGTCTTAGAAATCATTGATTAATACAATATTAAAATCTATAAATGGCTTAACTGTCAAATCTATCTATGATTTAGTGAACAGTGATGTGCAACATCAACAACAATGTATTTCTGTATTGCAGAGATTTCTTTCATGAAAAAAGAAAGAAAGAACACAATATGGCTGTGATATAGTGTTATTGAAAGTACTGATTTATCGATACATATTGATTTTGAATATTTGAAACTGTTTCAATACCCATTTTCCACAGTATTCATATAAATACGTAATACTTTCTCTTGCTGGTAATGTTTACTAGGGGATGGTTGTAACAGCACCACTTTCACCAAGAAGGGATGACCTGTGAGTCATGTAATGCATTTATTGTACGACCCTTCCTTCCTGAACTTAAATGTGAAATTTCATAGCTGTGCAAAGAAGTGTGCAGACTTCACAGCAAAAATATTGATTTTCAAGTATGAAAGTAATTGTTTGGATGAAATCTATTTTCTGATTAATACTGATACAGTTGAGATTAAGGTTATGTAACTTGTATTATATTAGTGAGTGGTCTCTTAGGTAAAATGTGAGGCATTTCATCTGTGACTATTTCAAACCACCATGCTGTTACAGCTAGCTTAACACTGACTGACAGGGGTGGGGATGGTTGTAACACCTTTTTAAATAGTGTTACAACTCACTCCAATGACTATGAGACACATTTTCTCTAGCTATGTTACTCCTTTTCTCAACATGCCAGGAGAGCTGGTGAAAAAAACTGAAAGGACATTGAGAAGATACTGCAAAAAAATAAAAATAAATACAAAAAATAAGAGAAAGAGGATCGACACAGCTGCCATGTCAAAAAGTCTTGGCTGGTTATTTAACTGAGGCAGCAGACCTGGATTTTGGACTCACTTCATGTCAGGCACTAAGCATCTCACAGGTACAGGTTAGACCTTAGTAGGAATTGGTTATTAGCTTATGTATCAGTTTTTTGGGGGTATTTTTTGTTACTGTGTAATTTTCTTTAATATTTCCCTCAACTTACCCCAGTAGTGTGTCAGGTTGTAACAGTGGAGCTCGTTACATTTTACATCAATTAATGAATTCTATGATATAGTTGGAGAAGTTAATAAACTTGCTATTTATAGTCAAGAAATAAGGGTATGAGAGCTCTGACACAAAAATTAAGTGAGTTATAGGTGCTGAGACAAAAAGTGTTACAACTATCCCCAGTCTCTCCTACAGTAATTCTGCTGTTCCCTGCTACTAACCAAGAAAAGTTATCATTGTCTTGTTATAGCCTTGATATATGTATCTTTGAATTAAAGATTAGAAGTTATCCACAGTATTTTTTTACCGTGGTGTCAAAAATGATATTGAATTATCAGTATTTTTCAAGGTATTGTATCAGAGTTAGAATTTCCACTATTGTGACAACACTAGTATGGTAATGACAGTAATTAAGATAATAAACTTAAGTGGCTGACTTGCTGAATTAATTTAAATGCATCCTGTATCTGTCCTCTAACTATAACAGTAGTATGACATTCATTTTTAGCTGATAATAGGAACAATATGCTAGCTGTATATGTTAAAAAATATTGTTCCTTTACTCCTTCATTAAACAAAACCCACAAAAGCTGTTCCATTTCAAAACATGTTTATTGGTCATATACAAAATAAAGTAAGCTGTTTATCAACAAACATACAGTATATACATCAATAAATTAAAAGATGCATCAGACCGATGATGAAACAGTTAATTTAATGATTACCAATACCTTGTCATCATCACTTACGTATCTACAAATTGCAAAAGAAAGTACAATAATTTAGTTGAAGATAAATACTTACAAAGACTGTCACATTTTAAGTATTTTCCCATAGAAAGTACTGTCGTAGAATAATTTATTACACCCCATACAGAAATATTACAAAACACAGAATTTCCTATTACAAGGGCTTTTCTGAATAGGCTTTGCCATATTCACACAAGTCACTACTTCTCTATAGCTTTAAACTGACCATTGTATACTTTTAGAAACACAAAAATATCCCCATGATTAACCTGGCCAAACGCTCACCAATAGACACATGTGGTTTGATGGGAGAAAAAACAAAACAAGCATGGTACCAGGAGTAAAATCAGAGCAAGAGACTGTTACAAGAAAAAACAAAATATAAGTTAACGTGATGTTATACCTAAACTCTGGGTAAGAATTCATGTTAGAGGCTGTGCAACTGATAAGGGCAGCAGAGAGAGTGAGAGAGAGCAGCAGAAGAGGGTACAAAACAAACATTATTATTGATGAAAACACCAAACAAACGATCAAAGGAATCCTTGCTTCATTTACTCTCATCGATCGGCATTGGAGGTGGGTGAAAGGGCTTTTAGAGTCCGGTGGCGTGATTCACTAGACGGGAAAACAACCGAATGACTACATACCGATTGGCCAAGCAGCAAGATAAGGAGTTAATGATTTGCATCTTCCAGAAGAATCGGATGCTTTGAAGAAGGGCTCTGCAGCCTGCTGAGTTAACTCGCTAACACTTTGTAAAAAGGGGATGGGATAAGTGGAGTGGGAAATGGTCTTATCAGATGTGTCTCCACCACTCCTTTCTGCCTCTGTAAAATATTTATAGATGCGCTTTAGGAGCTGTTGCTTGGGTTTGTGATGAAATGTCTTTTCATAAGGAGGGTATGACCCCTGTACAGGCAGCGGGAAATAAGGTCAGCGTGTCTTACAAGCTCATAAACTCTGTTATGAAAAGCCACCAAGCTGCCCCGTCTGATCATCACTAAAGGTCAGTAGTTGTCAGCTGATCAGGTCTGCTGAGTGAAAACTAGGAAGAAACTTCAGTGACGTTTCACCTCTGACACCCTGACCTGACACACTGCTTCACGTGGAAGAAATACAACAAACCACGAGATATTCGAGTCTGGAATACAAGAATAATGATATTCTTTAGTCTGACTGCAGCTACGGTAGATTTTACTTTCTTGGATCAAACCTTTCTGATGATTTCATGTTTTCACAGTTAACTGTTAAGTGGCACTCTGGGAAAGCAATTTAAACAGAGACAAACTGGTACTGCCGTTATTAACCACATACACTAAACACTCTGTATATAAGCTCTTAAACCTCGTCACATTACACAGGTACCTTGCAATTATAAAACAGACAACTTGACACGACGACTACGAAAGCATCACTGCTCCTGTGTGGCAGGAGGTCTAATTTTGCCCCTACACAGTTTGCATAATTAGAGATGTCTATTAAACAGCGGCCACCATGTATACTTATACAGTATGCATCCTTTGTGGACAGGAGGAGCATACGAATACAGACTGGATGGAGACATATTGTTTGACAACAGCACATATACAGTATGTATAGGAGTTTCTTATTTTGCTTTTGCGTCGCGTTTCTTCCTATTTTACACCATCGTGACCACACACACCACACAGGACTTGCCAGCAAAAATAAAAAACATTATTCAACAAGCAAATGAGTAGAAAATCAAATGTGACCACACAAAACAGGACACATTTTTAAAAACAAATACAGAGCACATACTTAAATACACAGAGTGATACCTGTATTTGCTTGTAGCTGAATACCATGTGATAATGAGACGTTTAAAAAAATTTCATTTGACATTTGTCGCTCTCTGATTTCACTATGACTGAACGAAATAAAAAAGAGTAAAGATTATGGAGAAATAATATTTTTCAAACCCATTTCCCTTCCAATGCCTTTGCTCATTGTTCATCTGTTTGACTTTATACTAATGTAGGGTACAGACACGGACATACCTCGCTAATCTTAATAACTGCACAGCAGTAGGCTAGTTAACCCCTTTTTCTTCACAGTGGAAAAGTAGCGGTTCAGGTAAAAGGCTGCATGTATGTACTGTTTTTTTTTAATAATGTAAATTGCTTTTGTTAAATGATTTAAATCAGGTTTTCATCAGTTAAAAAAACAATTTGAGGAAATTGTTCTTTGTAAAGTAAACCTAACTCTTTGACAAACCATTAAATAGCAGAATACACTTTTTTTTCACTTCATAAAACACCAAATACATTAACAAATTTGTTTCACTTCCCTGACACTTACAGAACAATTCAAAAACAAACAAAACAGGAACATTATATGTACAGAACTATATAAAATGTACACAGCAAAAACAAATAGTTTTATCACACACTACAAAAATAACTTATTGAAGGAGTAGGGGTGATGCAGCCATATAGGCCCAATGTTGAGTTTCCTATGTCTGTTATGTTGCCAGATGACTTGAATACACAATATCACGAAGCTTATGAGGTTAACCAGAACACTTCCTCATCTCAGTGGTCATTTTATCTGTTATTACTAGCTCTCAAGACTGTGAGAACCAAATTACAGCCAGAGACGGGTTCAAAAATACGAGGAATGGGTCAGCTAAAGTGAAGCTAAAATGTACAAATGATGACTGCAGATTGCGAGCAGATAAACAAACGATCTAACACGTTCTGCAGTGCTGGAGCTGAACGACGGGGCCGGGAGGACATAGATCTTATGATTAGAGAAAGAGTGCAGTTACCCACAGTGTCATCACCTGCTTCGGCCTGAAATCAAACAAGGATCAAAGTCATATCCATGAAATAGTGAACGTTATAGTTACCTCGTCACATACCTACACGGCACACCACACGCTAGTTACACGGTTACACACACGTGCCTAGTCACTAGAGAAAGAACAAAGCTATTCAGTAGTTAAGCCACTTTTGGTACAATTGCAAAATAGAGAGATACTGTATATCAAACAGATTTTGTTATACCTTTTTTTTTTTTTTCCAACAGGTCGTTACAAACAATGCAAAGATAATTGTCTTTATAAAATTCCAGACTCTACCATACATAGACACAGATTCTTGGAGTATAGAACACCACGTAAGACTACTGTTTATGGGAAAACTCGTGTGAAATGACATCCCATTTGTGTGACTGGAAATTCAGAGAAGTATCTTTGCTGTCTTTGCTGGTTGGCTGCATTGTCGGTAATCACACTTGCACTTGCAAAGTGAGCTTTGTGGTTAAAAACAAAGAGGAATGCAACAAAAACCACTTTGATTTGAGGCAAGATTGTTGCTGTAGCTGTAATAACCTAGATTTCAGAGTCAGGAGCCAATCAAAATCATAAACATGCAAACCAAGTAATCCACATAAACAGGACTTGTACTCAAAATAGATCAGCAACTTTCAAAAAAGCATTTTTAATGAACTGCCGAGTCACATAAATGGGTGTTATTCATATTAATAATCCTGCTACTACACAACTCATACAACAACGCACAGCCAGAGTTAAATGCTGTCACAACCTGATTCCTGATTGGTCAGTGTTTCACATTAAGCACAGGTATAAGCAAACACCTGCATTGAATCTCCACCGTCCTTCCACAATTCCTCTTGACTTCGTCTTGATGCATATCATTAGGAGACCAAGGCACTTGCCCTTCCAATTTTCTTCTATATACTTTTTGACAGGAGCTCAAACACACAGACCTTGAGCTCTGGTGTTTAAACGACCGTTTCCCTGAAAAATCCTACAAACCGAGATAAAGTCGGTGACTTTCAGTAACTATATCTCCTTTCCTCTATAGTATGTTGTGGGTTTGTTTTTTCTTTTCCTTTCCACCCCTCTGTCTGCTAGATCCAGGAAGTACTGTGTGTTATGATGGAAACCAGTTGGAATTGAAAAATGGAAGGACAGAGAAAGAATAGGTAAGAGCAAGAGAGCTGGACATAGAAAGTGAAGAGACTGTAGAAAAAATACAGCTAACTAAATATAGCAATACCAAAACGAACACGCGCCACAGAATTTCACAGAATTCCTGATATATAACAATCGACACACAAAGAATACACTTTGGACCGCATGTGAATGACAACACAGTACAAAACAGTAGAAATACAGTTACCACCATTGTGTAATATATATTTTTCTATAGTACTTTTCTGAAAAGGTTCTTGGCTAGGTGGAGCATGACGGGACTTCTCTTCAGCCACTGAAATCAGCAGGTCACGTGAAATCTTGTGTGTTATTTTGGAACCCTTTGTGTCAATTTCTGATTCTATGTAACGCATGTTTTGGAATATTTTTTCTGGTGTAGCAAATTTCGGTTCAGGCAAACGTCTGCTTCAAGTCTAGTGTGCAAATGTGTGATGGGATTATTATGCACTTACAGATATCTAGATCTACCAGTGGTAAAACCTGACACTGAACACTTTGACTGACACGAATGGCAACTGAACAAAATTGCATGATTTTTCCCAAGTGTTTTGGCAATTACATTCCCCCCCTGGCCTGGAATAAAACAAATTCTTTGACTTTTCCAGGCTTTCAGTGACCGTAGGAACCCTGTGTATCTGTCCTGTGCTAAATGATCATGCGCTGACCAAGGACTTGCATCTTTATAGTCTCCAGCCTTTCCTTCACCTGCACTGCTCTGAGACAGTTGATGGGAACGTGCTGAGGCTATGTGATCGAGACTGCCCAGCTGTTTGACGTCAGTGCAGGTGGAGGAAAGGTGGCCAGCAGAGAAGAATTACTCTGTCGCAGCTGAGCTCCATCCCAACATGCCCTCATCTATCTTTCCCTCCCTCAAGACCGTGCATCTGTTTTTGACTTCACTATTGTAATCACGCTGGTCGCTGTTGCCATCTTCCCTGGTATGAGCGGGCCAATGACTGATGACGCCACCCCTCCCCCTCCTCCTCCCCCTCCAGCCCTCACCCCGACCCCGACAGTGGGGCTCCGTGCCACAGTCCTGGCGAAGGTCTGTAACGCCTCGTACTTAGACCTCAGAGCGTCCAGCTCAACCCGCATCGAAGCATTCTCATTGGCCAGTTTGTCCACCTCCTGCTGCAGCTGGGCCTTCTGCTTCTCCAGCTCCTCCTTCTGGGTGACTCGCTTCACCCGGCAGCTGGCGGCGTAGCCCCGGTTCTTCAGGGTGCGCCGCCGTTGTTTCAATTGCAGGATCTCATCTTTGGTGAGCCCTCTGAGGTGCTGGTTCAGCTCCCGCACTGACATGGTCACCAGCTCCTCGTCTGTGAGGCTGGTGCCATTCTCCCCCGGCTCACGCTTCACCTGGAGGAAACAAGAGGAGGACGGGTTGTAAAAAAGAGACAGAGCAATATATCACATACAGAGAATCCACTTTAAGAATGCTCTCTCTTACCTTCAAGGCTTTATTTCCTTTGTTAGTCGTCGTCATGCCACAAGAGCCTTGCTCTTCTGAACGGACCTACGGAGATACAAGAAAGTATTAACCATATGAAACATCATAAGAGACAGCACAAAGCCAGTTAACAGAGCAATAGCATTAAAAAAATACCACATTTGTGTTAAGAACAATAACAGCTCCCTATGATCATAAAGAACTCACTAAGTGTGTATCAATACCCACCAGGCTCAGGGGAGATGCACCACGTTTAAAGCTACTGTTGGAGCACTGTGGTGTGAGCATGTTACAGTATATCGTGCATCTGTGTCACAGAGTATGAGTGAAAGTGGCACAAACTTTTCTTAGAATTTCCCTGACTTCCTGTTTCCTGGTAGTTACATTGACAGTGCCCACTACCTTGGTGTTGTTGAACTCTTATTGGCTGGCTTCAGGCCAATAGGAATGAAATGAGCATAAAAAGAAGAGGAAGTGGTGAAATTTGTGGGAAGGACTCCAGGGGAAAACCAACTGTTAGAGCCTTTACCCAAACACAGACACACCTTACTCAAGACTGTAGCAGCAAAGTGGTAAAGCAGACACACACATACACCTAGTGGGGCTGAAAATTAAAGCGAATTAAAGAATACGATGTATACACATTTGTACCAAAATGGAAACAAGAGACAAAAGGATGGAGACAAGACAGTGTGAATCAGAAGTCAACAAAGAGGGAGCCTGGAAGTGCAAAAGATGAGATCAGTCCTTAGAGCGCACAGCTCCACAGATGAGCATCTCCACAAGCTCTCAATGAGACGCTTTGTATGGTACGTTGGTCCGGCTCTCATCTCTCAGACCTGTGTGTGTGTGTGTGTGTGTGCGGTCTGTGTGTGTGTGTGTGTGTGTGTGTGTGTGTGTGCGGTTTGTGTGTGTGTGTGTTTGATAAAGGGCAGCTATTGTTGCTGCTGCTGAGGGATCATCATGAGACCAGTCATGATGACTCAGCAGATTCCTGATCTCACTCTCTCACCCCTCCCTCTCCTCTCCTCTCCTGCTGTGCAAATTTCTGCTATCCTCTGACTCTCTTTTATCCCACCTTCCTCTCTGTTTTTACACCACTTACAACCCTTTAACTCCTTTCTTAAAAGGCGAGGATTTGCCCATAACATAGCTGCAGGCACAGGGGGTGGGGGTGGTAAATGAGAGGACGTGCTTGCATGTGATTGGCTGCCTAATGGACAGCGAAATGTGGTTGTCATCAAAGCATAAAAACACCTGCTTTTCAGCCAAACCTCCACACCTGACACAGCTGAATGAGAAGTTTACTTAAACCAATTTGCTGATTTAACACAGTGTGTTGTCTTCCTGTATGCATCTATACTCTCTTGTGTATTTCACACCAGGGCTACTTTAAAAAAAAGTAAGAAGCAGATTTAAAAATAAGTTTCTTCAGTCATTCACAAGTTGGGTAATTTAAAGAGCTCCTTGTTTAGGGAAGTGATGACATTAGGCAACGTGTCTGTTCTCGTTTCATTCTTATACTTTTCTGTCAAAAGGCAAGGCACTGAGCGTTCCAGTGAACCTCCCCCACAATGCACCTCCGTCTGTCTGTGAGGGTGCGTGAGTGTTTATGCGAGCAATGCCACAAATCCTACAGTTATAAATAGCTGTAGATCAAAGAAAAACGTACTCTACAAGCACATGCAAGCAATCATGCATGCACACAACGCGTGTCAAATGCACAGCAAGTCAGAAATTCAGAGAAATGATGAAGAATATGGGGAAAGAGAGATGCTACACTTTTCCTCACATAGGAGTTTTACTGTGATGGCGCAACAGCGCTGCCTCATTCAAAGGATTTGACTTCAGCACTTCATATAAATGGGTTAGGATCAGTCAATTAAAATGGTCTTTCATTTAACTGTGTATACATAGAGCTTTTTCCTCAATAAACAAATGTTTTCCATCTTCATGTTCCACCGCAGCCTTATTGGGTTGCAGCCTCCCACAGCTGGAGGTGCATCATCGCACAATGGATGGATCAAAGACATGAAGACTGAGGGTGGCTGTTGGGGGGTGGGGGTGGAGAAGAGAGGGAAAACAGAGGGGGCAAAAAGGAGGCTGTTTTCCTGCCAGGCACTCACTTATTTCCCCTGTGCCCAAACCCCAACCCCCCATAACCCCATCTACATACAAACAAAAAAGCATGCCAGCGAGCACATACACATTGCCCTGCCGCCATGCCAGTGGGGCACAATAAAACACACACGTAAAACGCTCGGCTGCACAAACGTGCAAATGTGTAGTTATGTTTAAAGTGCTAAACAATACTCGACACGTGCGGAAATTGAGCTTACTGTGCATGCACGGTTCAGGAGTTTTATTCCATACTTGACAACACATAATTAAAATGTCTTAGATAAAAGCAACTCGCAAATGGAATTATTGCAGGTGCACAAAAGGTACTTGTAGTATCCATATCCGTACCAATACAGCTCCTTTGTAATCATTCTTCAGTTTTAGATAGTAGAGCTTACTTTTAAGGACATGTCCTTTGCGGTAATTATCATCTGATCATGAGACAATCCAACTAATTTACTCTAATGACTTAAGAAAAGGATGACCAGGGCGTCTTTGTAGCCGAATGGTTAAGACGCATTCCACACAACCACAACATCATCAGTTACGTTTCATATGGCTGTTGCATGTGATACTCCTCTATCTATTCCCTCCTTTCCTGTCTGTCTCTATATAATCACCTGTTCAATAAAATCAATGCCCTAAAAATAAATCTCAACCTCCGAGAGTCCAAAGTAGTGTCCTCAAATAGCTTGTTATAAGATATTATGTTTAATATCATAAACATAATATCAGAGTGAGCACAATGACATCTGTTCACATTTGAGGAGCATGAACTATGCGATGTTTGGCATTTCTGCTTAAAAAATCGGACTCGTTATAGCTATGGTAGTGGTAGTAGTGGTGTTAGTATTGTGCACTTGCAGAGCAGGACATTGTATCATGTTTGAGGCTACTTCATCAAGGTTAGACAACAAAACGCCTGACCTGCACCACAGCATAAAACTGCAATAAACTAGTTTGTGTGAGCGTTGTCTGAGCGCTCAGGCCATGTGTAAGTCACCCAGGTTAAGGATCATCTGCTGAGCAAAGGCATCGCCATTCATCTTGGATGTATACACACACACACACAAACACAAAGTGCCAGAGGTGTCCTTCCCATAATGCTTGCGGGGTGGTCGCTGCGGTGTGGTCAATGCCACAGCCACTGTTGCTACAACAGACAGCTTTTTTGCTGTGGCAGGCTGTATTTTTATGGAGCAACCGAAAGAACGCTGACAACTCAAGAGCAGAGCTGCTTACGGTTACAGTCGAGAGACAACACACACACACACACACACACACACACACACACACATACACACATCCTCGCAAACACAGAGGACGGGACATGGGGACAGGGATATAAGAAGGAGAGGTGAGACGCAGTGGAGATGAGTAAAATACGACTAGCAGAGAAGAAAAGATAAGAAAGTGAGGAGAAAAGAGGGTGAGGAGTTGGTTGGATACCAAGGTGAAGACAGACTAGGTAAGAAAGGAAGAGGAGGAGGAGGGGGGCGAGGAGGGGGGGGGGGGGGGGGGGGGGGGGGGGGGGGGGGGGGGGGGGGGGGGGGTAGCTGGTGGTGGTGAAGGAGGACTGAAAGAATGCTGACGTCTCCAGAGCTGATTAGCGTTACAGCGGAGACATCACACCCACAGCCGGGAAAAATGCTGAGTATGGAGGGAGGACGGGGTGGGGGGTGCAAATGACAAGGGAGAAAGAAGAGAAGAAAAAGAGAGAGGCAAGTGAGTAGAGAGGAAAAGGAGGAGGAGGAGGAGGGGGACAGAGGTGGGGATGGAGGGGAGAGCGCCGATGAGGAGGAACAGGACGGGGGGGAGCAGAGAAGGAGGAAGAAGAGGGGGTGGGAAAGCGTTTGGGTGAAAATGCATCCTCAACACATTTGTAAGAGCTTAGCTGTTGGGTACGGGGGAGAGGGGGGGGTGTAGGGGAAAGAGAGATGGAGGTAGAGAGGGAGAGGAGCAGGGAGGGAGGAATGGATGGAGGGGGATTGGGGTCGAAAAAAAAACCCTGAACTCAGCAACGACCACGACTAAAACCTCCAATTAGAAAAGTTCTGAAGCTGATCCAGTGCAATGAAACTACTGCTGACCATCTCTCCCTCTCCCCCCAACCTTCTGCTCTCTGTTTCACACACACACAGATACAGACACACACACACACACACACACACACACACACACACACACAGAAAAAGCTTCACATCCTGTCTTCTTGACAAATCAAGTCCTGGAGAAAGGATGAAAATGAGAGTAATAGTGTGGCAGAAGGTGAACACAGCGATCATGGGGTTTATAAAGATAGATTAAAGAGCACAAGACATAAAGCACGACTCCTTTCTCTTCATGTAGTGCAGACGAACAGCATGATGAACTCTGTGTGTGTGAGTGTGCATGTGTGTCTGTGTGTGTGTCTGTGTGTGTGTGTGTCTGGCTTCAGACGGAGCTCTAATTAATCTTGTTTGAGAGAACCTTTTGCTCCAGCCACTACCGCCACACAGAGAGGAATTTCTTAGAAAGAGACTTCCTACTTAAGGCTGGTGGCATGCTGCACAGACACACACACACACACACACACAGAGGAAAATAAATAGCCAGATTAGACGCTTCAAAAAACGACCCGGGGGCTGGTGTGTGTGGGTGTACGCGAGCATAAACAAGCTAGCATATAGAGAATGATCAAGAATAGACTGTAAGAGTCACAAGTCGGTTGTGATGCAGTGGCAAGTCTGTCTTTATTGAATAATCCCAACATAACAACTGCCTTAACTGCGCCTCCTCCCTCAGGCAACTCTCTGAGCAATAATGGAGAACACAAAGGATGGCAGCCGAGTGAGGCGGTGAAGACACAGAGAGGACACGATGGAAAGACACAAAGAGAGCAAAAGAACGTTGGGAGCGTGAATTAAAACCTCCGAGCACCACAAAACTCAGCTTCTGGCTGCAGT